GGGAAAGAGAGAGAGAGAGAGAAATCACCCCTAAGCAGGGATGGCCATGCTGCATTCTTTCCCTCCAGTTCCCTTGTATCATTTCAGTCCTTTTAAATTTATTGACATTTGATTTGTGACCTAACATATGGTATATTGTGGAGAATGGACATGTGTACTTGATTAGAATGTGCATTCTGTTGCTGGGAAGATTGTTCTGTATATGCCTATTAAATCTAGTTAGTTTACAATGTTCAAATCCTCATTTTACTGCTCATTACTGAAAGTAGAATATTTGGGCCACCTGATGGTGTGGTCCTCACGTTTTTCTTGATGAACTTGAGGGCCCGCTTCTGCTTGAATACCTTGAGCAGCTCTACGGCACACTGCTCGTTAGGGTCAAAGCCACACACCTGTCAAATCACGAACTTTGTATTCTTGGTGAAGCATCCATGGCAGTGGTGTCCCTCAGCTTGCTCACTTTATTGGTCACTTCGTGACCCTCTGTTGAATCCATAGGGTAGCACAGAGCTATGGCTGCTAGTTTCCAGTGGGTGCTGCGGTAGAAGAACTGGTGCTATGTGGAATCCTGTTATCTTCTTGATGAATCTTTTATCAATATATCGTGTCCTTTGTCTCTAATAACTTTTTATTATTAAAATACTAATTTAGAGCCAGCAGGTGACATGGTGGTTAAGGTGGCTGGATCCCATGCAGACTTCTGTAGTTTGAGTTTCAGACCCAGAGGCTTGGAAAACACGCCGGGCATGTGTATGTGCATGCCCAAAATCCCAAGAGAAGGGATCACAACGTGTCCATCCCCTTGGGGAGTGATTTCTCACTTTCCCTCTCTCTGTCTCTCTCTAGAAAGTACATGTGTCCCATAGCCAATTGAAAAAAATTAAACTAAATTAAATCAAAACATAAATAACTTTTTTGGCAGCTATGTATATAGTTCTTCCTACCCCATCTTGGTTACTATTTGCAGGGAATGTTCCTTTCATGCTATTGAAACTGTTTGCTACCAATCCATATATTTTAATGGAGCTGAAACTCCCTGTCACTTAGTGATGTTGAAGCTATGATAACCTTGTAGTGTACCATATTACACGTTTATAATACTGGTGGTTTAAAAAATTTTGTATGCTGCCAGTCATATAAAAATATAGCTCAGGAACCAGAGGGTGTCAATAGCAATAAAATAATGACACTGTGTGAGGCAGACCCACATGGGAAGGTTGCTGATTTGCACCTAGAAACCTCCATGAGTAGGCCAGGCTTGCATGTGTCTAATGTTCAAACTGGCTGAGGCTGGGGTAGGTCGCAGGGCCAAGGCACTACTGAGGTGGTTGTTATCTCTTTCTTTCTCTTATGTAATAGGTAAATACATACATAGAGCTCATACAATAATGCACAGTACACAGTACTTAATAAACAACTCTAACAGCTATGATACTGGTTTATATCTTTTTTTCTTTTAGAGAGGTTTTTTGCTATAGGGTGCGTGCATTCGCCAGACAGACAGAGAGACAGAAAGCAAGAAATCACCCCACCCCGGGGGGGTGGCCACGCCGCAATCCCCTCCTCCCCCT